GTAGGTGCCCTCATCCTTGAGAAATGCATATTCTAGAGACAGCATAAATAGTTGTTAAAAAAAAAAGACCCCAGATGTCACTTGTAGTTGAGGATAACAATAATATAGCTTTATTGAGGGTGAACAGTCCTCATGAACTAGTCAGGAGGTTAGAAGAGGGAAAGAATCTTATCAGGACAAAGAAGATATTACAATAGAAAACAAATGCGATCGAGGCAAATTTTAAAGAATTAGTAAAATTCCAATAAGGGAAAGGGAGTATATTTTGGACAGGAGAATTGAGTAAAGCTACATTATGGGGATTAAAAATACATAGGGCTATTTAGAGGAATGCACAGTCCAATTTCATATAAGTAAGCAGGTCAAAAAGTTGAATAACTGAAAATCTGGGAAATAGGTATAGTAGCTGTTATTGTTTTGTGAGTTTGACTTCACAGACCTGCCTCTAATAGCTCTGCATACATCATCACCTTTCATCTCAGACAGCATCCCAATCAGTGTAAGAATTGTTACTTCTACTTTTCAGATGAATAAACTGAGACTCAAGATTAACCTGTCTAAGTCTCCCTGTGAGTGGCAGAGACAGCATTTAAATCCAGGTCATGGAACTCCAGGGCAAGTGGGTGACAGCCACTTCCAGCAGCATAGATGCTGACCCAGAGGCAAACATTTCTATCATTATTGTTAAACTCGAGCCTCTGTAAAAACAAGCACGTGCTTTTCCAGAATATGTCACCTATACATAGGCGTCTATGTAGAAAATGAGCAGGAAATCTAGGTAGGTGGGTAGTGTGAAGTGTTCACAGTACAGCGTGAAACCAACAGCATCGCCATTGGCATCTGGAAGGTTCCATGAGGTTTTCAGGCTCCTGACACATGGGATCCAGTGGTTGAGTGGCTCTCTCATAAGCTATGGAAATAGGTGGTGGTTTCAGAAATCAGGACATGGCAAGACTTTGCAATCTGCTGGCAACTTATTGGGAGGTGTCATGTAGTGAAAAAAAGAGAGAAAGAAAAGACTTGCTCTACAAAGAAGGAAGGACCTTATTCACTGGTGCGAGTGTCCAGCTAAGACTAGCAAGGTGGATGATCTCTTCCCATCTCACCTATGAGCTCCAGTGGAGAGCTTAACATTTCTGCTGACCTAGAATCCTCTTGTTCTGAATAATACTGATGCGAGAAGAAGAGGTGGGTGAAGGGAAGAGACAAGGCAGGTGAGGAAGGATGGGGCCGACACTGAGGACATTTGCTGGACCAGATGAGAACGTGCAACAATATCAATATCAACAACAAGCCGGACTCGGTGGCTCAACCTGTAATCCCGTGCTTTGGGTGACTGAGGTGAATGGATTGCCTGAGCCCGCAGGCTCAAGACCCGCCTGGGTGACTTGGCGAGACCTCATCTCTACAATAAGTCAAAAATTAGCCCGGTGTGGTAGCGAGTGCCTGTAGTTCCAGCTACTTGGAAGGCTGAGGCGGAAGGATCGCCAGAGCACAGCAGGTCGATGCGGTAGTGGCCGGGAGCGGCCACTGCACTCCAGTCTGAGCAACAGAGTGAGACTCCAACTCAAAAAAAAAAAAAAAAAAAAAAAAACAATAACAATGACCAATATAGAAACTAAATGACCTGGCAGTTCCTCAGAAAACTAGAACTGCCCAAGTGCAAATCCTCAAGATTTGGTAGGAATCATTAAACAGAATATATGCCATTATACTATTATTATTAGCTCCATAATTATCTTATGCATAAAGCAGAGAGTCAGCATCAAGCAAAGCATTGCTAGGAGGTAGCAGTGGATTATTCTACACTATAAATTCTAACACTGCTTGGGAAAGAGATTACAAGAAAATGGAGCTGAGTTTATCATGAAAAATATGTTCTTTTACTCACACAAGGTCCACCCCCACATCTACTCTCTAGGAAACTTGGCCTGAAGAGAATATGTAACTCCAAATAGGTTTAAAGAAATATAGCAAGAAAGTGAAGTGAACTCCATGCACACATAGATTGGTGCATGCTTCAGGCTTTCTCTCATGTCTGCTTTGTTTGTAACGTCTAATGAAATTCTCAGTGGTATACAAAACATATTGAGTTTCAAAGCATTTTGTCAAAATTATATTAGGTCCATGTTGTACTTGGGGAGAAGGGAAATAGTGCAAGTTTTCAAAAAGAACAGAAATTTGACCTGCCAGAAAATAAAGCTCAAATAAAATTCCCTAGTTTTCTCATGAATTATATTGTGAACATCACTCCATTTAATTATTTTAATAGGCATGATAAAATTCTGGAATAATTAAAAAGGTAAAAAGTTCAAGCAGAATAAAATAGATAATTGTGTGCCCACCAGCCATATTGGTTTCATATCTCATTTTTAAAACATTTTAAATTAAATATTCTATATTATTTTCTACCCATACTTCTGAGATGCAGCTTTAAAGACGTGATAAGAAAACACTGTATCCTTGTTTAATTGTAACATTTGTTTTCTGAGTAGTACAGAAAATGACAGTATGTTTTAACTATATGGTGTCTTTGATTAGATGACATATTGTTCTGTCAACACAGGGTAAGTGCTCCTTCAGCCTATTTCTTTTTGTAAGCAGTGATAACCACTATCTTGACATTATTAATATTTCATGCAATGTTTTATATGTTTATTATACATATACATGCATATATATACATTCAAAACCTGCATATACTGTTTATTCTTAATCAACTCAGAACATGTTAACTGCAAGCAAACAAAAAATCTTTTTACAAACAAAAAATATTCATTAACCAATATGCTTTCAAACATTTTCCATGTTGAAAGGTTTAAGACCAGTTCATTTAGTCTAAATGTCCTATAGTACTTTATTGTAGTGACATACAACCAGTTATATTTATCCATTAAGCCGTGTCACAGACTTTTAAATCATTTCTGTGTTTCCTGTTTTTACAAAAAGTCCTGAGGATTGTTTTATGAATTCTCTTTTTGCTCATGTTTGAGAGCTTCTACAGAGATATTCCTAGTTGTTGAATATACAGTCTTGGATTTAGACGATATTGCCAGATGATACTTCCTGTGGGTTAAAATAAAAATTATGATTATGGTGGTAGAGATGTGTTTTTCCAGCCTAAGAGACAACTTTGTTATGAAATCAAGTGACTTCTCTTGGCTCTAATTTTCTCCTCTGTAAACATGATTGCTGAAACATTGTGGGCATTTGCCCTCAAGTTTTGGGTGCTTATTTTTTAAATACCTTGCTAATTCTAGGTAACTTTATATACTCAAACATGATTGCAAAACTTTGTATTCACATACTTAAGACAAGTTTATATGCAAACTTTGTTCTCCCCTCTTTTTAAATTATCTTTTTTATTGTCATTGGTTGACCAGGACTTCCTGAATTTAAAGTGAGAATCTTCCATCATTCCTATTATAATTTGTATTTGGAGCCCCCTTTCCTTACTTAGTCCTAAATCATGAGAGTCTGATTCTAGATACTTGCCTAACTGGTTTAAACTTTGCTGTTCAAATCATCTGTAAGTAATTCTTGATAGAGGGATTCTTGATATAGGGATAAACATTCGTTTCCTTTACAAATAGATGATCTTTCTTCTCTACTGATAGGTGAGGCAGCCCCAATGTATACTAAATATTCACCTACATGAGACTTGAGCTGAATTCTCTAGTCTGTGTTGGTGCTCTGTGGTCTGTTTTGCACTGGCAGTGCACTGTGTAATGATTTTGTTGAGTTTTTACTGAGGTATACTGCATGGGGCCAAGTCCTTGTGTTGTAAGTGTATGTATTGATGGATGAATTTTCACAAGTACTCAGATCCAGAACATTATCAACACTTCAGAAGTCCACTAAACGCTAGCACCTGCCCAAGCTACCCCCTCACTTGACATCTAACAGAATCTATCGATTGATTACCTGTGTTTGTACTTAATGTAAGTGAAAACTTATACTGTGTTCTCTTACATGTCTGGTCAATTCCACTCAACATTATGCTTTTGAGAGTCATTCGATTATTTCTTGCAGTTGTAGATCATTCTACTTTTAAAATTTCTAATTGTAAATAATTTTTATCTTGTGCAAACTGTATAGATGAATTGTACAAACAACTTTCAACCTCACCCATTTTAAAACGATTTGCTGGCATATGGTCCCATCAACCTTGCATGTATTTTGGTGCATTTGTGACAATCAAGGGTATTCTCCTATGAAACCTCCAAACAACCATCAAAATGGGGGACTTACTAAAGGTGCACCACTTAATCAAGAGACTGCCGTGTTAAAAATCTTCCATTGCCCCAGGGATGCCCATATAGACAGAGATTCAGGCCAGGGTTGCATATTGCATTGAACTACCGTGATCTTTAATCTCCTTCAATAAAAAAGCAGTTCTGCAGACTTCTTTTGACTTTTCTGACCTTGACCTCTTTAAAGATACAAGCCAGCTATTTCTTCATGACTAAAAACTCATCCTACTATTGAGTTTTTGAAATTCACTTGAAATGCAAAAGGACTAGCAATACAAGAAATGAATCACTGGGGCAATCATTATAAAACACCATTTCACCAAAATTCAACTAATTAAACTTTTGTTTATCCGAGAAACTTATAAATGTGTACGTGTTTCAGTTGCAGCTGCCTCTCATATTCAAGGTTAAAACCGTTGCGATTTTACATTATTGCAATTAAATTTCACTGAGAGAAACTGTATTTGATGAGAATTACCATGGTTTCAGCTTACTGCATGGATATCCATTAAACTGGATTTTTGTGAGTCACTCTTCTTAAAGACAGCAGAGTAATTTAAAGCCTGTGGACCAAGTAATAAAGGATAAAATGTGTGAGAAGGGTGCAATTTTAATGATTTGTACATAAAAATAGCATTCAAAATTAGAGATTCACTCACTCTTGACGTGAGTTAATCACATTATGGGATGAGGGAGCCTACAGACATTTCATGGAGATTGTCCTCTTGTTGCCGACCTATTTTTCAGGTCTCCCAGCTGTATTTCAGCACCTCAGGGAAGCTGTGCTCCAGTCTGCCTCCTCACCTCTTCTCCTGCGCAGAGAGAGCCTTCCACCAGCTCTTCCAGGAGCAGCGCCCTCAGTGTTTCATTCTCAGGTGATTCCCCCTCACCCTCACCGCATCCCTGATACTTAGGTTGCCCGAGGAAAGATGTCCTCATTTCCATGGTTTGCGATTGACTTTCTCTGCAGTTTGACATTCAGTATATCTTTGCAATAAGTACATTTGACTCCTTACAAAGGAGAAGCATCTTTGCTATTAGTGATAGCCCCAAGTGTAGCTGGATCAATATCGACAACCTTAAGCTGAAACTCATTTCATTTGGAAGATGTAAACCTCAGAAAAAGAGTGTTTTTGCTTTTAAACCTAGAAAACATGGAGAAAGAAAAGGTTACAATGTGAGTGAACTTGACTAAAAAAAAAATGTGGTGGCACCCTAAATATAATTGTAGTTCTTGGCAAAGTTATGTTTTTCTTGATCTACTTCTTGAAATTTTACCCTTTTTTTTTGTATTTTGCCAAATTATACTCCCAAAAGTAGCTTTTTATTTGATATGCAGTGACAATTTTAGCTCATAAATATCAAAATGCCCAGGAAGCTGATTTAAATTGAAGCAAAAATTCTTCCAAAAAGAGATACTACAAGAATAGGGGTGAAAGGTGATCATTGATTGATAGAAGATTGAATGCATATTTAAGAATGAAAATAAGACCTGTGTCAGAGAATTACGTATTCTTGTAGGCCAAACCTCTCCAAGAGAGACTTCTATAATAAATACTCACTGTGTTGAAACTGCACATGCAAATAAAGTAGCTCACAACGCTAGCCAAAGTGAAATAAAATCGGTGAAGAGATAGAGCCTGGATAGAATCCAAAAGGAATATTTAAATGAGCACTTATTTAAATACTTTTATTTATTTTATCAAAAATTCAGCGAAGGGTAAGATTGATGGGTTGCAAACGTAAGTGTTCTCGTTTTCAAAATAGTACGCACACAGTTGTTTTCACACTGCATTCTCAAGTGTCCCAGGGATGAGAAAGGCGCTGAGGCAGGAGTGCCCACCCATTTTTGAATCAAGTCATTCTATTTTTATCTGGTTTATCAATTGAGTTTTCTGCTCTTAATTGATAATGAAAGGGAATACTTTTTTTAAATTGCACAGGAAGTATAGTACATTGGTGAGATAGTAGAGAATGTATAATTTTGTTGGCAATAAAAAAAATATTACTTCTGGAGAACTTAGAGTCAGATCCTTAAATGGGTTATTCCAGACTTCTATGTATTGTCTCATTCATTTACTTAGAATGTGCATAAACTCTGATTCTGCTTAACTCTAAAGAGGACCATGCCAGCTGTTCATGAGTTGTTGAAAACATTGGTGCTTAGCATAGCTCTGAGGGGAAGACAAGGAGAAGCCAATGCTTCAATGTCCTTTGGGAATCTGCCTATGAGAGAGATCACAATGTTTAGGAAGTTCTTTGAGTCAAGAAACTGTGCTTGGTTTAACCCAGCAGTTTCAACACATATTTTGCTCACGAACTTTTTTTTTTTTCTCAGTAGAAATTGTTAATACTGTACAGAACTAGTGTTCCTTTGAGTCATTTTTAAGACTAATAACACCATGTGTCAAACATTTATTTTGAAAAAATACTATTTCTTCATTCAAGTTTCAAGAGGGCATAACCTAGTCCTGGTACACAGGATCGAAGAACGGTCTGTGATCATGAGGACTTATGACTGTATTCATTCCCTTTCATCTTTGAAAATTGTGTGCCTTTTTTTTTTTTTTAGCCTTGCCATCTCCTTGGTTGTCTTGACTTAAGAATCAGGCTTTCTCCACTCGTACTAATGCATTAAATTTGTCGTTTGGAATTCAACTAAATAAATTATTTACAGATCATTATTGAGTGTCGATTGTGTCTTAGAAGTAACATTTACAAGGAGTAATTTAAGATTTGGTGACTAAAACGTGAATATTCCTGAAATGGATGCACTCTTAGTACAAGACCAGAACAACTTTAATTTTATTTCTATATTTTAACTTAATATCTCATGGTTTTGGGGCTACTTTTAGACCCCAGGAGCTCAAAGGACAACACAAAAGAGGAGGGTAGAACATTTCTTAACAACTTGAAACTTCAATCAAATAATTATATCCCAGTTTACCTCTTTTTCTGGCAATACCATTTAATCAACTTCTTAATAATAAATATTCCAAGGTAGAAGCCTGAGGAAAGTTCTTATAAAAGGACCTTACATTTTTTTTTTCTACCAGATTAGTAAAGACTGTTTTTATGAGTTTTCCACCTGGATGAAGTCATAACTTTACTGTATATCAGATCACTTTGGTAAAGTGATTATTTTATCAGAATTCTATGTTGAACCTATATATAGTGTCAAAGCTCTGACACAGTTTGTAGAAATTAGACAAATTAATGAAATATGCCTGTGATTTATCAAAAGCAATGTCATTATAAAGAACAAGTTTAGTTAGCAGTTGTTCCTAGATTAAAGAAAAATGCAAAGCACAGAACGTCAGAACTGAAAGCAACCAAAAAAGAGGACCTAAACAGATCAGTTTGAGGATCTGTCTAATGACAGACACGTCACTCATGACTGAAGACCTTGCCTCCTTGATTTCAGTAGCGACACACTTAACGAACTTTTAAAAGAAAAAATGCTCAGAGGATTTAACAGCTTTTTCAAGGAAGATGTAACCTCTTTCCTAGTTGGCCCATAAAGCTTTAGTAGTTTCCCCAAGACCAGGTCTGTGCGGCTTCATGGCACCTGCATGCCCCTGCTCAGTAATACCTTGCTTTTCAGCCTGAAGCCTTTCTGCTATAATTCGCTTACATTATGTGGTTCTACCCTGTTAAGATATTGGATGGCAAAACCCGTGTCACATTCATTTGTAGTAACATCTAAAACGGCATTGGGCACATAACTCAGTAGGTAGTTACTAAATATTTTGGACAAATGCATCACATTAAAGAGTGAAATTATACCATAAAGTCATTAAACGTTGTTGTGAATGTCCTTCCCTCTTCATCTTTGTGTCTGAGAATTATCTCCGGTTATTTACTATTATTATTATTTTCTACTAACTGCTCCAAATCAGCAAACCTATGAGTTCCCTCTCTGTTTTCTCCTAGCGGGGAGAGGGGATCAGGGAAGTCTGAAGCCAGCAAACAAATCATGAGGCATCTGACCTGCAGGTCGGGCTCCAGCAGGGCCATCTTGGATTCCAGACTTAAACATGTAAGTTTTTTGTTTGGGTTGGTGAGTAGGGGAATGAAGGCATTGAGACAATTGTCATTGACAAATAGCGGGAACATCATCATCAACCCCCGGGGGTTTCTAATTTATGGAAATAAACAAAAAAGAAGATGGAATTCTGGGGCAAATTAATATCATTCAAGTGAAGGCTTATTTACTTTTATATATTTAAAATATTTTGTATATACTTCATCTTTGCTCTGAATAGTTGGATATACAAAGGGGGACCCACCCAAAAAATGGAATCATCTTTTGAAGGGTGGGCCCCTTGTAGCACAGGCTTCTCCTGCTAGGTGAGTGTTCTAGAAACTCATTGGGATCGGTGTACCAGCTAGCGTCGTTGCTAGAGGCTGCATTCTTCTTCAGTGAATTTTTTTCACTGTGTTTGTCCATTTCCTGATGGGTGATTTACAAGCACACTTTCCCACACTGTGCTGAGTGTTCAGTTTTTGACCAAAACGGCATGACGCCCAGGCCCCACCCTTCCTATTCACCTTCTGTCTCCCCCAGCAACTTTTTCTTGTTTCCCTGAATATGGAAGAGGTGAGATAAAAAGTGGTCGAAGTACTCAAAGGCATCAAATGTGACAACTTCTAATGAATCGGCATTGCTCAGCCTTCTTCCTGACGATGTTGTTTTATTCTCTATCCTCGGAGCATCATTTTTCTCTCCTCTTAACTCTGTGCTAAAGACACTTTTGAACATGCATGTCAAATCGCCCCATGCTGTCTCACTCATTTGTTTTCTCACTCAACAAGTATAACATGGCTACCAAGTGACTGTCGCTTGAATTCGGCGATGCTATCCAGCAACATGGCAGGAGCCCAGTTTCCTTGTGGAGAACAAATGAGTACACGAAAAAGACATTTCCACGTATTTGACATAGCTATGAAAGACTGAATTATCGGAAGTCTTCTAATTTAACTTAATCTAAATTATCAAACACATTTAATGTGATAACCCATTTGTACATAATCAGGATCCTGTAAGTTTAGGGTGTGTGTGTGTGTTTGTGTGTGATTTATAGAGCCAACACTGGCATTCTTTTGTGTCTTTCCTGTTCTGCTTTGGTTAGATAGTGGGACTCTTCCCCTCTTTTCTCTGTTTTTGTTTGTTTCTTTATTTCTTTGAGTTGTGGTCTCACTCTTTTGTCCAGCTGGAGTGCGGTGGCACTATCACAGTCCCTCCTGAGCTCAGGTGATCCTTCTGCCTCAGCCTCCCGAGTAGTGGGTCTACAGTCATATTCCACCATGCCTAGCAATTTTAAAAATATATTTTGTAGCGACAAAAATCTCCCTGTGTTACCCAGGCTAGTCTCAAATTCCCGGGCTCAAGACATTCTTCTGCCTTGGCCTCCCAAAGTGCTAACAATGCAGTCGTGAACCACTGCACCCACCTTCTATGTTTTGTATAACCTCTTTTCTTCATTCAAGTATAGGAAAGATACATGTGTTCAAAAAAATGTGATTATTATCTCAGATCAAGAGAGTACTAAATAGATAAAAAGAATCATGTTCAACTCCTCATACACACTAAAAAAAATAAGATTTGCTATAAATAAATCAATGTGTTCTGTTTGGCATTCAAGAAAATGATGTACATACATGCTACAGCATTTCCTTGTCAAAAAATTAACACATTATACACATCATACCCATATTGTCACAGCATAGACCTTTTGATTGGCTCTTACTTCAAGGTGAGATATTGCAAATTTAGCAATGCACTCTCAGGATCCCTGATGTGCTTTCAGTGTCTGCAGATAGATGTCTCACTGCACACACTTTTGCAGAAAAACACCTGCGATTCATTCAGCAATTCATTTAAGAGAAATTCATTCACTTAAGAACAAACAGATACTCTTAAGCAAGTATCTGATTCCACTGGAATCAAACAGCTTCTGTTACTTTAGATTATCTCCTACAAGAATGCCATCCAAAAGTTCAAAAGTGAAACATCCAGAAATACGTCGCACCATGAACATTGGGTTATTTGTTCTTGTTTCTGTGTCATCTGCCTTTTTTATCTGACTGCTAAGGGACAGAGTTATTTTTGCCACAGTGGTGTTCACTTAGGCATATTCTGGGAATTTCTATGATCTGATCCCTCATTTAGGAATGAGTGGAACTTATGTTTAATCAATAGATGAATATTATTTTCTCATATTGTCTCCTTAGGAATCATGAGTCCTTTCTGTGCTAATGGATCCCTAAGCTTATGTTTGATTATGGGGATTTTTCTCTTTATAAAGAATGTATAATTAATCAATTCTGTGATATGTCTATGGTATCATATGTGTTCATTAATGATTCAATTCATAACCCTTTACTATGCTTGTCCTGTGTGAAGCACCAGCATAATTCCACAGCACAGCTCAACATAATTTAGCATTTGGCATCAACTTGGAAGGATAGCATAACCTGTCTTCTTTTCTCAAATATGTCAAAATACTGACTACTGATACTTAAGGGCTAGACTATGCATAAAACAGCATGCTTATAAGCTGGATTGGGTTCCCTAATAGAAATAATAGAATCAGTTGACTTAACATAATGATAAGGAACAGTAGTTTCCCACCTAAATTGTAGACTAAAACAATCAATTTTTAAAATTATCCTTTGGGAGAGAACAGGCTGCATAATTTCTATAATGTATTCTCTGTTACCTTATTACATTGGCTTTGAGTTTTAGTTCAAGTGAAAAATTCCAAGTTGCATTCCTTTGGCTCACATAGATTTAACTCTCCCAAATCAATTAGCATCTGGGAGTCCAAATTCTGGTATCAGTGCACATTTCAAGTAAAAATTATGTCTAATTCACGTGTTTGTTTCCTTCATTCCTCATGACAGATAAAATGTTATAAATAAATGACTTCCGGTCTCATGAAAAAATACCACCCTTGTTTGAGCCTGCCTTAAACTCCATGTGAATTATAAGGGTTTTTGTTTGTTTTTGTTTACCTTTAAATTATCATTCACACGAATTTCATTTAGTGCCCAAAACGTTCATGAAAATAATGCAGTCACCATTTTTGGAAAGCATCCAAGGATACATACAGGAATTAAATACAAGCATCAGTTAAATTTACAATTTAATAATAAATTGTAAGTCTTTATATAATTATAGGAGTGTAGTGAAATTAAGTAGATTTAAGAGGTGAGCCAGTAGACTAAGTTCTCAGTGTTGTTGATAAGTTCTTGGAAACCCTCACTTCAAGCAAAATAATTTACTGTGTGCTAGAAGAACTTAGCTATTGTTGATATTAATCAGTATTTGATAAAATTGCTTTCATTATACATCGTTTTGCTTTAAATTCGATAAACTTATGTTTGATTATAGAGAGTTTTCTCTTTATAAAAAATGTGTAATTAATCAATTCTGTAACAAACCTGTAGTATATGTGTTCATTAATGATTTAACTCATAACCCTTTATTATGCTCATACTGTGTTGAATACCAGTGTAATTCTATAACACAACTCAACATAATTTGGCATCAACTTGGGAAGATAGCATAACCTGTCTAAGTACCTACTGAGGATGGTAAGTGAAGATTTATTGTACTTCCCGTTTGAAAAAAAAATCTGTTAAAGGAAATTAATTGAAAAGAGCATCCTTGTCATGTGGAACTATTTAGTAGTAGGTTTGGCATTCAGTGTAAGATGACAGGAGTGGACATTAGGTGACCCTACAAGAAGACGAGAGTGAGCTGATTAGAGAGAAGGTTCAGCAATGTCCGACTGTGAGTCATCAATCTAGAACATCACCCAGGCAGACATGAGACCAGCTGTATAACAAACACACATTCCCTGCCTCCCAATAGAAGAGGCTGGTTAAATCTAAAGCCAACAATTTTGCCCCAAACCTAGAATAATCTGAGAAGAAAGAACTCTTTCGAGGTCATTTCGATCAGCAGTTACTAAATAACATGTAGTAAAAGAACAGTAGAGAAAGAAGAAGAGTATTTGGGGATAGTCTTCCATGTAGAATGACAGAGGCAGAGGAGTAGAGTAACATTTCCCTGTGGTTGACACTGATGGCATCATCGTCAACATTAAAGATGGTCGTCTCAGTGGAGGGCGGGCCATCAAGGACCAAAATGAAGGGGTCTGGGAGGAAGCTGACCTTTAAGTTTCACACCGGCATGGCACACCACTCTTCGTGAAGGAGTTTGGAGGAGGGGGGAGAAAAGAAGAGAAGAAACATTTGGTTGGACCCTAGAAGGTGAGAGAGAGACCCGCACTGAGATTCAGAAATAACTTTAGTTATTAGAAGCAGGTAATACACTTATTTTCAAGGAACACAGAGCTAACACATTTACAGTTCTCCAACTTATACCTCAACCGGCCCATCTTCAAAGTTGACATGGGTATGTTCCGCCTTTGCAATGGATTTCAACGTGTGCCTTAGCCACTGGGCAGATGTATGGAATTTTATCGCCATACACTTTGCTTTGTTCCTGCTACACAATTTCAGAACAGCTAAGATTGATGAAGAAGGGATGTTTTGTTTTTAACCCCTGCATTTGAATTTCAAAGGTTGAAAGCAGGGACTTTTTCCATGGTATTAGATTTATTGGATCAGAAAAGTAATATTTTTGGGGGGGGGGGAGATCTGCCTGGAACTTCTCACCCAGATGAATTTCTGGCCCAAAAGAATTTCAACTTTAAGAAACATTCCATTCCATTCAAGTCACTTAGATAGGTGCTTACTGAGCAATAGCTTTCACAGAGCAGATTAGTGGGTTCAATTCTGATTGAAGCATTATTTTTTATTAAGGAGACCACAAGTTTTAACTCTAAGAAACTACAATAGATTAACTACTTCCATAATAATGCATATTTTTAGTGACATAGCATGAACTTGATAAAAAAAGACAATATAAATAGAAAAAATGCCAATAAAATTGGAATCCATAGATATTGAGGATGTATATACTTAATTTTTTCACTTATACTTTTAACCAAAATTGTACCATTATGCAATATTGTCATTACTGTGTTTAACATTAAGGTTAGCAGTTGAATAATACTAGTTTTGTGTTGCTCAGTATTTCTCTAAATACATTTATTCAGTGCCACCTATTGGCCAAGTGACTGATCAAAGATGGAAACCACTGGTTATTTCAGAGTTTAACCAGCATCTTAATTTTGAATAATACATAATGAAAGAATGCCATGTAAGGCTGGATGCGTTGCTAAATGCTGTGTTTCATATTAGTCTTATGCTTTATATATCTTTATTGGCATTTTAGCAGTAATTGCTGTATGATGCAGTGGTTAAGTGTGGGTAAACTTCCATCTCAGTTATTTGTAAACTTCGAGCTTTGGGGACATGACTTAATTTTTCTATTTCCTTTTTTATGGTAAAATATACACTAGTTGTGAGGATTAAAAGAAAACACATATGCACATGTCTCATTTTAAAACACTGCCTGGTATGTAGTAAGCACAAAAGAAATGTCTATCGTTATTAACAGAAATAAGATGAGTCATTGTTATTTGCCAAATGTTGTCTATGTGACAGACACTGAAAACCACTGAAGGAGTTTGCCCTGTGTTAGAATTAAGAAAAATGAAGTTTGGGGTATTTAAGGGACTTTCTCTCAATGTCATAAAATTTGTCACTCAGCGAGCTTTGCATTTAAGCATTTCCTTATAATGCCTGTTTGGGACACATGCTCGTTTTATTTATTCGTTTATTTTGTATTTACATTTTATTTTAAAGATGTAGGGTTAGGGCACATGTTTTTAACTACCTAAAATGTCTTTTTATCTAGAATAGTAAAAGCATCACTCATCAGATATCACACCAAAATAACTAGAAGAAAAATATTTTAAAATGCATTCTATTTTTATAACTTTTAAAATAATCGTTTAATATAATATTGCTCATGTGTCAACAGTGCTACCATTCCACTGTTAAGTTCACGGTAAAGATATCCCTCCATATTCAATTTTAAATTATTGGAAAGTCACCCAAAATAAGAGCTTGCTAAAGCATGATTTCAAATTATTTTTTCAGAAAACATTTCTAGCATCACTGCTATCAATTTACTTTTTATCGCCTTTAAAATTTAGTTATCATATCCAGGCCTGGGTCATAGAGTTTTTGTAGAGATTTAATATATGTTTGTCTCCAAAAATGCAAATTTCAAAAATGGATGATTTCACATGCTTTACCATTATCACAACTTTTAGCACTTTTGATGTGTGGTGGTTAACATCAAAGTGTTTTATAATTGTATAGTAGTTGCCAGGAAATTGCAAGTAGATTCAAAACAGTCTTTTTAAAACATGTTTGAATCAAGATCTTAGAAAATAGTCACCAGAAAACAACCCCTTTATCAATAAGGTGTTGTTGCGCGCCCTCTTGTGGCTGATGCAGAAACCACACTTAACCTATCCTGTAAAGCCAGAAAGACACCTTTCAACCCTGCAGACTTTCACGCATTTTGGAGAATGGCTTGGTCGCCATCATTATCCCTGGCACACTCAGTTGATGGAGAGGAAATGGTCTTTATGCTATTGTTAATGTTTAAGGAAACATGGCAAGGATTTCAGACCCTGGGCTTCACCTGGGGAGCTTATTCTGGCTTTTCAAAGCTTCAAACTTGCCGAGTCTGCAGGAAAGCACGTGCATTGAGGAACAGCGGGAGCACAGCAGCCTCAGGTAGAAGTTTCTTTCCTGTTCCTGCGGGAAAGAATGGATGGTCTGGGGCAAAAATCCCATAGAGGGAAGATTCCGTAGGGGTTCGGATTGAATGGAGTGTATGTGGGAAATAAATAGGGGTTTAAATGATATATTTAAGTGATTGCATTCTTTTAAAAGACATTCTGAACTATGGCTTGCATTAACTTTTATTCCTCGCCTCCAAAACAGCAGAAACTTTTTCTACTGTAATATTCAAGTTTGAAATCTCAAATAACATTTGTTAAGTGCGGGTGTATGTGTGTGAGTGTGTGTGTGTGGGGGGGGGTTATGTGAAGAGAGTGGCTTTCCTTCCTGTACATATAGCACGAGTGTGGTGTCATGAGACCATCTGTATAATTTATTAGCAGTAGCCACAATCTGAGACACAGAATGCTAGTGCTTTGCATTTGAAAAAAGAGTGACTTTAATATTTCAATATGGTATTATATGAGCAGTGTGGTACCTTTTAGATTAAAAAAAAAAAAAGATCCCTGTATCTTTGCTGAATGTGTAGCTCAATAGACAATTTTCTCTGCCACTGCAGGTCATGTGCATCTTAGAAGCCTTTGGACATGCCAAGACAACGCTTAATGATTTGTCCAGTTGCTTCATAAAGTATTTTGAACTCCAGTTCTGTGAGAGGAAAAGACAATTAACTGGAGGTAAGTGTGCAATTAGCAAATGAAGATTTTCCATCCAAGAAGGCAGAACAGCGGTCCCTGGAAGCGTGGGACTGCGTTAGTTGAATCTACACTTTCCATCATATTTTAATTAGGCACGTGGTGGGGAGAAGCCAAACATCAACCAGTGCAGGGAGGGGAAAAATCTGTTCTTCATCATGGCAGGGTTTATAGATTTCTAATTCTGGAAAGTTTTCATTAGGTTAGAACAAGGCTTAACACTCAGGCACACAGAGGGGAGGGTTTGTGTACCCGGGGTGTCAGCTTATAAATTGTAAAATTATTATGAATTAAAAGTATTCTCAAATATAAGGTGAATCTTTTTAAGATGATAATTATATAATCTAAACCAAAAATTGCTAATCATTCTTAAAACAAACTCAAATATTCAACCTAAATAAATTACAACCTTAGTATATAATTTCTTCACACAACATCCACTGGAATCTATGTTAAATAAAACTTAATCCATATTTTTAAATGATTGAATTAAAACAAATCCAAGTCTTGAACTAATCACCAAAATAAACCCAAACAGATCTTGTTTCTTATTTGATTAAAATATTTATTGTTTATTTTATGAAAACTTTTTAAAAAATTCAACCAACTTAGAATTCACCTAGAATTTTACATTTTTCCAATTAAATCAGATTATCTGTGCAAATTAACAAAATAGTTACAGTTGTAGGTGAGATTTCTAATGTACTTGAAGGAAATAGCAATTAAAGAAAACTTTTGTGATAGGTGCCAACACACAAACATTTGCTAATTATAAATGATTTCTCAAGGAGTTTAATTTTATTTGGCTTTTCAAAGTTACCCTGTCTTCTCTTCAGGAAACAAAAGTTAGCTAGTTTGTTCTTGTTGTTGTTGATGTTTGGGTCTTTATTTAAATCTGGGTCTCACTCTATCACCTAAACTGGAGTGCAGTGGCACAATCACAGCTCATTGAAACCTTGATTCCCTGGGCTCAGGTGATCCTTCCCCCTCAGCCTCCTAGTAGCTGAAACTACAGGCATGCTCCACCATGTCTGGCTTTCCTTTTTTTAATTTTTGTTGAGACAATGTCTCCCTATGTTATCTAGGCTGGTCTTGAACTCCTCCCTCCTTGGCCTCTCAAAGTGCTGGGACTCCAGGTGTGAGCCACTGCTCCAGGTCACATTCTGACCATAATCAAGGAAAAAAGAAGATATTTTGCAGCAAGTATATATCAACATTTATTTTCTGCTAAAGGAAACTTGATACATAATATACATGAAAAGAATATGAAAAGATAATTTTAGATATTGAAGTTAGAGAGCTAAATTATGCAATAGGCAAGTTCTTTTTTTTTTTTTTAATTGATGGCTTAGAGTTCTGAAAATCTACCCTTTTATGAAGTCCTCTTAGGAGAAATGTCCTGAGCCTCAAGCTCTAGTTTTGAAGTCTTGGTTTTAACACCCTGTGGCAGGAGTCCCCAGTCCTGGGGCTGTGACCTTGGCCTGTTAGGAATTGGGCCCCAGGGTAGGAGAGGAATGGCAGGTGGGTGGAGCTCCGTCTACTGTCAAATCAGCAGTGGCATTAGATTCTCGTAGGCGCAGAAACTCTATTGTGAACTGTGTGCATGAGGGATCTAGTTTGTGCTCCCCTTATGAGACTCTAATGTCTGATGATCCTCCCGAGCCCCCTTTTCCTAGCCCCCTCCCCACAAAGCTGCCCGATGCCAAAAAGATTGGGGACCGCTGCCCTATAAGAATGCTCTTCTGAGTGAAAGGTCCAGACTTCCCTCTTTAATTATGAGCACAGTTTTCCTTCGAGTTATAGTGATCGGTGGGGCGTACTTACATTCGCTAAGTAGGTAAGACTCTGCCCAGAATTAGGAAGCAAAAACCATGAAAAGCTACTGGTTTCAGCTCTTTGTCACTCAAATGAATGGCCCAAAGATAAGCATTGTGCAGTAACCTAGGAGTCTCCTAGAAATGCAGACTCTCAGGCCCACCACTCCAGACCAGGTGTTTGTGATTCCAACAGGATTCCTAGATGTTTCGTGTGAACACCAAAGTCTGAGAGCTCTGTTCTGACCCAGTTGCACACACGCATTATGGCAGGCCATTCTGTTTATGGGTAATTAGTACGAGGAGAAAAAGCTCATTGGGCTGTCCCTAATACGACTTTTTTTCCTCAATTCAATGTTGCCTTTACCACTGGGAAGATATGGTAACTGGTTTCTGAAGGTATTACCCTTTACTTATTTGTTTGTCTCTTTTTTTTTTTTCTGGATAGTGCTCTTTTCCAGAATGTTACTTTAGAAAATAATTATATGCATGTATTAAAAAGAATTGGGAAACTCTGTGGTCAACACCTACTAATTGAGTCTTCTGCTGATCAGCAAACACTATGAATACTTGGTCCCACACATCTTCAGGACACTCAGTCTCAGAAACACCCCTTGCCCAGTTTGTCTAGGTAGCAAACTACGACCCGACCAGCATGCATGTCCATCACCATGGATCTGCAGCGGTTTAAGTTCCTGGAAAGCCCTCTGGATTGTGAAGAAACTGTGAGCACACATTCGATGTGATTTCAGCACTGTGAAATTCACGCTTCTCTTTTAGAAACGGCAATCCGGGCATCGGTTAAAGGTGCCCTCCAAGTCACTTCACTTTCCATATGGCTTGTCCACTCATTCTGTTCCCCTAATTAACATCCTTAATTCAGTTTCTGCCACCTACGTGTGTTTATTCGATAGCTTCCTGCTGTGTTCTTTTACAGATCTGGCCAAGTGATTTGGTAACTTTTTAAAAAAAATTTTGTTTTAAATTAAGAGTAATACAACTGCCAAAAGAAAAAAAAAGCCAGACTGAATTAATAAAAGTGTGATGCCTAGATCATAAAGGTGGTAGGACCCACAGGGCCCTGAAGAGGTCAGACTGGGAACTCAGTTCTTTGTTTCCTGCATTTATGGACAGACATAAAAGGAATATGTTCAGATAACGTTTATCAGGGGAGTGAAAGTTCACGTGCTATATTTTTGGAGTGAAATGTCGACAAAACTAACCTTTCCACAAATAAAAAAGTTCCCCAAAAGTAGGAGGCTAAAACATTAAAAACCACTAGGTTCAGTCCCTTTCCACTCAAATGTGTGACCCGAGAACAAGCACCATGCGATAATCTAGGAGTTTGATAACTTAAGAGGGAGGGGAAATAGGACAGATTTTTACAAATCCTCCTGACCATGTAGAAGAAAGGTCTTGAGTACAAAGCTACAATATGCATGCTGTAAAGAGTCGGGAGGTGTATCAGAGAAGGACTATCTTCACTTCATACCTGAACTTGTGGTTGTGCGTCCTCATGTTTGCCACAATCTTTTTCACCCCAACATTGAATAAACTCAAGCAGACGAAGGAGACACCAGGGTGCCAAAAAATAGTCCTGTTTAAGGGAGGATGTTTGGACTAATTATTTTAAGGTTGCTGCTAGTGTTCAAATATGAAATATTCTTTTGCCTGTCGATCTGATGCTCCCATGTCTCCCAGGGTGACCTGGTATCATTGACTTGTCTCCTGGTACCCGTTAGTGTAGAATAAATGGATTGATGTGCAGGTACACTCGAGTGTGTTAGTGCTTCAAGTTGCCATGACAAATGAACACAAATGGATTGTCTCACAGCTCTGGAGGCTAGGAGTCTGGAATCAAGGGGTCTTTTGAGGCCTGAGCCCTTGACTTCTCTGGGGAATCCTTCCTTGTCTAGTCCTAGCTTCTGGGGGTGCTGCCAACATTTGTGCTCCTGGACTTGGAGATGCATCGCTCCAGTCTCTGCCTTTGTTGACCCATGGTCTTTTCCCTCTTCTCCACTTCTTTTTTTCTTAATATATATTTTTTATTTTGAAATTGTAGGGTACAGTAAAGGGTTAGGTATACAAATATGCATTGTGCAGGTACCCTTGTTGATGAAGTGTGCCCCTCCACTCCCAGACAGATGTCGACTACTGTTAATCCCACCTCCCTTCCCCTCCCTGCCCCCCCCATAGTTTCCCGCCACTGTCAATCC